TTTTTTTATTCAGGTGCAATTCTCCGATTTGCCTCCCAATACAAGTCAATTGTGACGGCCATTTTCACCAGTGACCTTGTCGAAAAGTTCTTTGAGTACATGAAAAAGTGCCCTTCCAGTTGTCCTTTTGACGTATCAATGGACTGCAGCTATACCTTCAAAGTAAGCTCTTTGTTAACTTCAAGTTTGTAAAAATTCATAAAATCTTTTCCAGACAATTCTAACACGCCACAAACAAACAACAATTTCAATCTTGCAATCAAACCCTTTTCCATTTTTCGAAGCAATAATTCAACTGCTGAAATATGCTGATGAAACAGAAAATTACGTAACAAAAAGGCAAACGCTAGAAATATTTGCTGATATATTCTCCGGTTCTGAATGCGATGAACTGCGAGAACAACTGGTTACACGGGATTGCCACATCTGCGCGGTCATTGTTTATCTTTGGGATCGCAACTTGCAAATCCGACTTCGTTGTCTGGTGCTGCTAAATCAGCTGTTCCGCACGCCAAAAGAAGGCGCCAGTGTCTCCGTTCAAACAAAATCGGAAAGTCATGATCATGATTTGGAAGAGAACAGATCAGATGAGAAAGAAGTGGAGCCAGTAGTGCCCGAAGCCAGCTGGAGAATAGCACTGTTTTTAGAAACAGTTGCTCTAACCAGACAAAGGTGTCTCGAGAGAGAGTTGAGCTCTATTGGAGACACTTTACGTGAGCTTCGAGACGAGTGCATCAAATCAAACGTTAGGCATTTCACTTCCCAGTTACCATTCATCGACAAACTGATTGATTCATTAAAAGACAACTGATGCCCAGCAAAGAATATACTTTTTGTAAGGGTTTTTTACTGTAAATAAGATTGTGCAAGTGAACACTGTGCAACTTTTAGCAAAGGTCATTTTTATTGCTGTTGTACCCGCGTTTAAAAATTGCTCGGTGTGCGCCATAAAGTTTTATTGAAAAATAAAAGTTTTGCAAAGTCAGCTACACGCATGCATAAACTTAAAGTGGACCAGAGGTTAAGGCTCTAGGCAACATTCAACTTAACGTCTCCGCAGAATATCTCGTCAGCCGCTCCATTGCATATAAGCTTCCATTTGGTCGTCTGTAAACCTTTGGATAGCTTATCAGAAACATGAAGTGACTTTGTCAGTGTGTACGTTTGGCCAGTTTTCAGCGGGCAATCAACATCACCTCCGCAAGCAGGCTAATAGAAGTTTTTAGTGATAAAGTTAGTGTTCAACAAGTTTTTAGATGATCAAATAAAGTTACCTCACTGAAAATCTCATACCAGCCACCAGAGATGAGGACACTAGCTTTCAGAACACAGTCATCGGAAGTGTCATGGGCTGCAACAATAATTTGTTTTTACGGTTGCAATATTTTGTGGTCAAAAGAAAACTTACTCGAGATGAAATTTGTGGCAACGCTGACATCGTCACCATTCTTGACGGTGCATGGCTCAGCAGAACAGGGCTCCACGCTCACTGATTGAATTTTGCCAGGAGAAACAGCTGTAACGGAAAACGAGTATAAGAATGGTCATTTTGTTAAATCATGTTATTCAACTTACCACATGGCGTGAATGAGTTTCCTGTCAAAGTCAGCGAAAATGCCAACGGAAAAAGGCAAACTAAAGTGATGGCTACAAGTTTCATTTTTGTAATTTTACTTGTGTGCTAGTAAAATGAACTTGTTTGCTGAGTCCAACTGTGAGCCATTTTATACTCAGATTTTAGCATTAGCATTAGGCTCATAAAACAGGGCTATTCTTGCTTGTTCATGGCAGTTTTATGAGCAGGTAGTTTTCAAATACTGGATTATCATTTAGGTAAGCCCTCTTTATTTCACTTGTTTTTATCAATTAACATAATTTATAATTCTTTTATGATCATTCAAAATGTTTATTATGTTTTTATTGAAATGTAGAATCCGTGTTCTCTACACAGGAAACAATTTTAGTTTAAAAATAGTTTAAACAAACAATTTAAAGTTTTTTATTAAAATGTTAACTTTACCTACGATTGAGTTCTGACAAGAATGAAAANAATGTAGAATCCGTGTTCTCTACACAGGAAACAATTTTAGTTTAAAAATAGTTTAAACAAACAATTTAAAGTTTTTTATTAAAATGTTAACTTTACCTACGATTGAGTTCTGACAAGAATGAAAATTGCGACTGTTATTTAATGGTCAGTATGACAACCAAGTTGACAAAAGTTATCATTTTGACATTTTCTTATCTTTTTACTGAGGTTATTTGTCTACATCATTTTGACAGAGAAAACCCTTGTATAACTTACAGGTGTTTGCTTGCTGATAAAACATTTTGATAGTAAATTTACTACTGAGACATGCGTCACAAAAATGACAAAAGGACATTTTAAATAATACTGTTTTTGAGTTGTATCAGCAATTTATTTGTTTAAATTAAATAAAAAATAAAAAATATATCTAGTTTTCAACAACTTTTCCATTCATGTTTGCACAAGCAAGTGTACCATGATCTCCCAAAAGCTTGAGTACGACTTGCGCACTGACATCAGGAATCACCGAGGGAAGCGTTAAAGTAAAATCTAA